CCCTATTCCAAAAAAAAAAAAAAAATCAGAAAAAGAAAAAGAAAAAAAAACTACACCCTATTCAAACAAAAAAGACACCCTACTCGAAAAAAAAAAAAAACTCTATATCCCGGCCATGACGGAGATCCACCCACATAACCTGTCTTGCCTAGTCACTGCAAAAGACTTCATCGAGCGAATGTGGCGGTGATCACCGTCAGATTCATCCAATCCAAGGAAAGTATCGAGTGAATGCCTCGTCGATCAACCAACCCTTCAAACCTGCAACTGACCCCTTCAAACATACAACCGCCCGCCAACGACTTTCCCTCTGATCCAATCGAGAGCCCCCACCACACCTTAAATAAACAGCGCCACCTACAATGCGTACACGTGTCAAAATCCATCACCATCTCCATCAGCATCCACCGCCCGCAGCCGCTCTCTCACAGCATCCAGCAGCATCTCCATCCATGACCCCGATGTCCATCCATCCATCCATTCACTTTACTTACCACTGTCGAATCTGCCACGTGAATTCTTCCCGAATTTCCCAAAATCTTGTCCCGCCCATCTCGATGACATTCCCTTCTCCTTCTCCTCTTCCCCAAGCTATTCCCTTATTCCTCTTCCTTCACAGCAAAGGCACTCCATCTCTTTCTCCCCCCCCCCCCTCCCTCTCTTCCTCATACATCCTCCTTCACTCAAACATTTCTCCGAATACAACGCGCATCATTCCCTTCTTCTCCTTCTCTCCCGTCTCTCTCCCCCCCCCCCCCTCTCTCTCCCCCCCCCCCCCCCCCCCCCCCCCTCACAGCAACCCCCCCCCCCCCCCCCCCCCCCCCCCCCCCCCCCCACTCTCCCCCCGCCCTCTTGTTCATCCTCCTTGACTAAAGCCTATCTCCGAGTACAACGCGCATCCTGCAAACTATCTTCAAAATCGCGCATCCATGTGCAAAATTGCCTACCGTCTTTTCCCCGAATACAACGTGCGGTCATATACCCTCAATTTGGGCCAATTTTCCGTCCAGATACGGGGATAATGACCGTACGTTCTGTTCGGCGGGCGGAGCACGGTACGCGCCATTCCGTGCATCCATTACCTCTATGAACCTTGTGAGTACTCTATCGCCCCCACTAACCTTTTTCCCCCGAATACAACGTACGGTCCTTATAGCTGTATTTAGACTGAAAGATACCTCAAATACATCTATAACGACCGTACGTGGTATTCGGGGGAAGAAGGTAGTGGTTCCGTACTATCGACTACCGACTTCCCCCGAAAACAACGCACCGTTATCATGACAGTACCTGACCCGAAAGACGGCTTGTATACATTCATAATGTTCGGCGCAAGACCGTACCCATCAGTCAGCCGGCTCAGAAAATGGTATCTGATGCTGCAGCAGCAAACGGTACGTATCCGAAGAAGCCCTATTATCAGGCCCCGCTACCCCTCATCAACTGATTTCATTACCACAAAAAAAAAAAAAAGACGGTTCTCAAGCGATCCCTCGCTGACCACTTGCCACATTCGTAATTATTGTTATGAAACGGTACCACCTGCTGCGACCGTCTTCCCTCGAATAAAACGCACGGCCGTCATTATGGCTGTGTACTTGGGCCAAGTCTCAGTCTAGATACATCGGTAATGACAGTGCGTTCTATTTGGAGAAAGAACGGTAGTTCTAGTTCTCACACTCAGTAAATGCCGTAGGGCTCCAGCGATACCAACCGTGAGTTCTGTTCGGGGTGGAAACCATCTCCGTGCGTTCTGTTCGGGGTGGAAACCCAGCGGTACTAACCGTGCGTTCTATTCGGGGAAATGGAGCAACGATCGAGCATCATATATCACCGTGCGTTCTATCTGGGGATGCCTATCCTCTGCATTTTATTACTTAATTAATTTACTATTGTGCTCAAAAACTTCCTCTGCGCTTCTCTAGAGACGGCAACCAGCAGCAAAACTGAAACAAAGGAGAAATGAAAAAAGGAGGGGGGGGAGGGGAGAGGGAAGGAAAAGAACAGAAATTATATAGCAAAGCAAAAGAAAAAGCAAAAGCTGCAAAACATATAAGAGTCCTCTATTTGTGCGGATTTTCCGATAGCAAGAAACCGCCTAACAATAGGGCCTACCGGTAGTTGCACTACTCTCCATTCGCCAAAATTATGAATGAATCTGAACAGGGAAATCCGTCCTGATGCATTCAAAATGTTGGCCGATGGCATGTAGAGCTGTGCTCTAACGTAACGGCTAACCGTCACTAACGTAACGGATAACCGTCATCGGCACCCGCTGAAATTGCAATAATTTAAATCGTTTTTTTCCCCCAAACCTTATAAATAAATATATAACTGAAAGTCGCAAAATAACTACGAAATTAATACGTACAGCTTTTATATAGAACTGAAAATCATTATTATTTAATTATTTAATTTAATTCTTTAATGTAACCGAAAATAATTACGAAATTAATTAATACATATAACATTCATATCACTTTGTCTCAAAATAACTACGAAATTACTACGTACAGCTTTTCTAGAACTGACAATCATTATTATTTAATTATTTAATAATATAACTGAAAATAGTTACGAAATTACTACATACATAACATTCATATAACTGAAAGTTGTTGATAATATAACTGAAAGTCGATAATTAAAAATAACGAAAGCTGTTATTAATTAATATATATCGTCACAATAGCGAAATTAAAAGTCATTATTACTACTTATAAGGTGCTTTGAACAACTCGAGTTTTTTCTCCTCCTTTTTTATCGCTCCGATGCCACTTTTCAATTTTTTTTATTTTTTTTAATTTATTTTTGACAGAGTTTTCCTTTCAATACTTTTTCATGACGGAAGTGATTGGTACCCGGCTCGGTTTTTACCAACCTGGATTTAGTTTCTTAAATTCTTATCGATTTACCTGACGCAAAAAGAAGGGGTAACATTGCGCCTCGATCCATTACTCACCATTCTAAATGCATCTTGACTATCTTCTGGACCTGATACATTCGGACCGATCCAATATTTTCGATGTATCGGGATCACCATTCTAAAAAGAGGGGTAACATTGCGCGCTCCGACGACCATCTGTAAATACAATAAAAAAACATATTGTGCAGTGGAGCGCGCCCCATCACATATACACTGCTCTTATCCTAGACTACAAAAAGTGACATGACTTTAATTTGGGGGGAAAAGACATCAAAATCACGAAATCAATTCAAATCCTAGGCTACCAGCAGGGCCGCCCGGGTCCCGGGTGGCCAGCCCGTGCAAGGACCAGGGAAGGTCCCTGCAAAAAAAAATAAAAATAAAAAACAATCCAAAAACTCCCGGAAAAAAACTATGTTATGCAGAAAAATAAACTGAACGTTTGCCTCAGGGTCACATCGAAATTCCTCACCATATTTAGAATAAAAAAGAAAAATTAAAACTATTTTTTTTATTTTTTATTTTTTTTGGCCCGGGACCCCGGGCCACTCCGGTAGCCTAGTTCAAATCACTACCAAAAAAAGAAGAAGAAAAAAAAAACCACGAAACCCCTCGCACTCCGACCTCCAGATAAGACACGCCAAGCGGGATCTTTATTGCTCCTATAATGAATTCTATTAATTATATATATTTCTATTATTATTTCAATTTATTATTTGGAAACTAAAAAGGGCAATAAAAGAAACGCCACAGAGTATGCTTCGACGGTTCCCCCCCGGCATCACTCCGACAAACGCCAACATTTTGAACATATCGGGGACCTAATGTTCATCTGTTATGATCCTGGTCAATTTCGAAGTACACATTCATCAGAAAGTACAATGTCGTCCAATTGCAAAAAGAAATACGGAACAAGAACAAGATAACATGGTGGTGGTTGAAACAGGGCTGAAAACTCGATTCATTTGTTTGAAACATGAACTGGAAGAAAAAAGGCGAACAAACGCCATTTTTTCGAACGTATCGGGACCTATTCTCGTCCCGTTACATTCAAACTTTGGGCGTTTACCGACAACGTGGACTCACGAATCGTCCAGCGAGAAATGATTTGCATACCGCCGGCTTCCCCCCGACTATAACACACCCTTATCACGACTGAATCGGATCGGAATTCATAATCAGGGTGCGTTGTATTCGCGGGCGAAGACAACAGAGTCGGAAGACGGCCAAAAGGTCCTCCGCTGCTCCAAAAAGATCTTCGACAGAAATCCCCTCACCGCCGCATCGAGGGCCGGAAATCTTACCCTCTAAAAAAAGAGGGAAAAAAAAATCACTCTCGAATTAAAAATAGATATTCAAGAAAAAACACCGTCGAATTGAAAAAATAGGTATATTCAGGAAAACACGAGAAGAACGGAAAAAAAAAAAGAAGGAGAAAAAAATTCCTCCATTCTTCTGTATATTCGATTATATCCTCCTCCTCTCCTGAGACACCTTTTTCACTATTTTTCTTCTTCCCGACTCTGTCCCCTGATCTTTCTTCTTTTTTCATTGTCTTCACACACTTTTCAATACTCTTCATCTTCCTGATTGTCTCCCCTGATCTTTCTTCGTCTTCTTCATCAACGTTTACAATCGTGTTTCTTCATCTTCTTCATCAACGTTTACACTATTGTTTCTTCATCTTCTTCATCTTCTTCATCTTCTTCATCAACGTTTACAATCTTGTTTCTTCATCTTCTTCATCAACGTTTACAATCTTGTTTCTTCATCTTCTTCATCAACGTTT